TCTTGTCCCCATCAGTCCGCTATTTATATTAGGATCTCACAATATGCATAACCGTAGGTGTCTAGGGTGCAATTGTATGTGACTCGGTGACTCAAGAACGAACAACACGATTGGTGAAGACTTCCTCCACCAACAGTCAAGTCATTCATAATCACTTGAAGTGAATATTCTAAGCTGGTCTGAGCGTTAAGCTGAAAACAGGAATTATCCTGAAGATTCTACTTATCTAGGTCATCAACAAGTTTGTGCCAAGTTTGTGTTTTTTAATTGTCAGTAAATCATTATACGCCCTTCACATAAAAACTCACTTTCTATGAATAGTTATTCCTGCGTTGTTTAGATATTACTTTCTCAACTTCCGTCTTGGGATTTCATACATTATAATTTATTTATATATTTAAACCAAGTCATATATTTTTTTCTGAGATTCATACTGTATTTATTTTTCGCGGTATACGCTCAATGGTTTCACTTACCGGTATAACCCGCCAAGAGTCACGTGGTTTTATCACAAGCCATTACATATAAAATCATTATATTTTGACACACCGACATGATATACAGAATTATTTCAAGTACGCTTAGTGTAAACAACCAAAAGATACGTTTTGTCGAAGTGTTGTTTTTACATTAACGGTGCTGTCGACATCCTGGTATATTAGCTTAATAAATAAAAAAGGTCTAAAAATCTACGCTGGCATATGATGAGATTAAAGGCAAATACATTATATTACACTAAACATACGATTCAAACTGTTGGCAAATGTGCTCCACATTCAAACCACGGTCAATGTCCCGAAAAAGAGATGTATCGCTGCGACTCGAACAAGTCTAGTTAGTTTTTCCATTTTTTTTATTTCATGATTTTTTGTGTGACTTTGATTCTAAGAATACGCATGAGCTGAACACATTTTCTGCGTTCAGACTGCTCTTTCAAAAAATGGAATAAACATCAACTGCCAAGTGAGCGTCTTAGTTGACATTGTCTTTTGAAGTTTTGAAAATGA